CAAATGACAGTTAGGAAGGCCCTTGTAGATGCCACAGCTCTGGTGTATCAAATGGTGTGAAAGGCGTGCTACGGAAAAAAAAAAACCCTTTCTGGTGAACTTGTTTGCATTAGGAGTTAGGAAGTATTCATTCTGCTCTTCCAACCTAAGCAATGTGCAAGAAGAGAAAAAAGAGTAGAAGTGAATAAGGTAAAACGATTTTGATGCCAAAGAAAGAGAAGGATGAACGAATAACCATTTCATTCTTGTGGGAGAAATTATACTCCAAAGACATCAGTCATCTTCTGCACCAAATAGATGAAAGAAAAAGGAAAAGAATTCTTTCCACTTATGTTCTCCAAGACCAGGATCAGTGAAACTCTAGAAGGAAGACTAAATTAATAAAGCAACAACTGCTCTCTTTTACAAGCACCTAATTGTTTCACAGAAGTTGCCACAAATTTCCGTTCAAACTTCCAGTTGTAGGAATTGGTGAAATCCTAACCTGAGCAAGAGATGAAAGCTATCCTAAAATATCAAGAATAAATTAAACTGAGTGGGAGTCAGCTGTTGCCAGTGAAAATGCTACATCATCCAAAATCCATTAGATCTGCTACATTCAGTTGTATGTTGTCTTAAACCTTCAATAGGATTTGAGCTTGCTGATAACACAAGATGTTATCTTAATCCTTTAATATATTTTCAGCTTGATCTTAGTGAAAGTTTAGTTGCCTATGTTGATTAGAACTTGTTTGAGGGAGGTCTTTGAATGACAATATTTGTACTGCTTTTGCTGTTTCACAGGATAATGTCTATGCTATACATATAAGAAATTGTATTTTCAATATGATCCTCTTTTATTTTTGTGCATTAGTTCCTCTTCCTATTTATGTTATTGGCTGAAAGTTTTGAAAAATATATTTTTTGGGGATTAATTGTATGGAAAATTTCATCTCAAGCTTCATTCTGTTAATAGCTGATGACATTGTTTTAGTTATGTAGTTTTTGCACCATATTTTTAATGTCTTTACTCAGGGATTGGCTCATACTGGACTCATTAAGAAAGTAATTGAACTCATTAAGATAAAACTGCAGCTATGGTACATGATATGTAAATACTGTTTTTATTAATGTCGTTACTCAGGGATCGGCTCATACTGGTCCAGCATTAACTCCTGCTGAAGTGTTGATTGCAATTCATGATATCGATCCTCAGAAAGATGGTGTTGCACTCAAGAAGGCAAGTTGTGGTCGCTTTTGATAATAAAGATATTCTCAGTTCTAACAGTTGGCCACTGAGAGGAAATTAATCTTGAACTAAATGAATATTTATTTTCTCAGATAACAGATGCTTGCACAGCTTGTTTTGAGCAACGCATAGTTTTTACACAGCATGTTCTAGCAAAGTCATTGAGCCATCTGGTAGGCAAGGATAAGCATGTGTTGTTGTTGCTATCATTATTATTATTATTTTCATATTGGATGTGTATTAATTGAATATCCTGACTTTCAGGTTGAACAAGTGCCACTTCCTCTTCTTTTCATGCGAACTGTTATTCAAGCAATTGATGCTTTCCCATCTCTGGTACCTGTTAATTCATCAGTTTTTTTTTACTCTATAAGCCTGCTTGATCTTATATTATATTTACTTTTATGAGGTGAATTTTATTTTCTGAGGTGAATTTTATTCTTTCGTTTAACTTTTATGATGCTGATTTAATTTTTGGCAGAAGTCTATTATGCCCCTTAACCCCTATGAGCAGCATCAGAAGTGACTTATAAAAGACATACATGTACTGGAGTACTTTTTTTTTTCTTGCAATAAGGACAAAATATAATTCTGGCAGATGTCACGTTGAAGTTTAATATTAATTTCACTTTCAGCAGATTTGGCTGTTCCTTCAGTGTCATTTGTGGGTGGAGTTATATGTTTTACTAGAGTGGTTCTTTTGTTTATGTGTAAACTTAAGAAATCAAGAGCTTCCACTATACAAACTTGTTAGACTTTCCCAGATCACAAAATTTATGCGATTTCATGTGTTACATTAATACTTGAGCACTTCTTTATTTGCCTTAGTCCGACTGTTTTCTATGCTCTCTTTTGTTTTCGTACCTAAATGTGACTTGGTTTTCATCTTTGACTACTTGTTTTGATTCTTTAATGTTACAAGGACTACACAGGAATTTCAAGTACCAGTGCTTGGAGTAAACTATATGTACTATTTTGACACTGATTATATAAATGAATAGTTTATATACATATTTACTTCTGATGTTGACAATAATGGATTCTCTGAAATTGAATTATTTAGGTTAACTTGGTGTGGGTTTTGATACTTAACTTTTGACCAGCAAGTTATCCATATAGAAAATGACAAGTGTGCAATCAACATCCTTAATCGACTATGGAATTGTTTTAGGTAAAATATTTTGGTTTAAACCCAGATCCATGTTTGATAGACTTGGATCGCAATATCGTGGTCTTTTGGGATGCAGATGCATATGATGATGCACAAAGTACTCTCTTTTTCACTGTTTTTTCCTAACTTTCTTTGAACATTTTTTAGAAAATGACTTGCTGCTTGTTCCAGATTATTTATGCTGTAACTATTGTTGAACAAGTTGATGTTGTGATTGAGATGACATAACTATGTCATAAATAAGCAACTTGTTCTGTTATTATATATGAATTAGTTGAAAATTTTAGGTATTTCTAGGTCAGAGAGATTGTGCACTTAAGCTTTTTAAGTTAGTTTGTACTAATTCAATTCTGACAATCAATGTTCGGATGAAAATTTCTGTTATAGGAGATGTGAAGTACATTAAGTCAGCACTGATTGGAACTTTCTTAAAACTTGTTTATCTTGCTGCAGGTTGATTTTGTGATGGGTATACTCTCAAAACTTGTGACAAAGCAGGTATTAGAGTCGCAGATTTTGTATTTTTTGGTCATTTGTTCTTACATTTCTCCAATCATTGTTTGGAGAAGTTATTACTTGTTTTAGTGTATGATGAATGAGTTTTTTGCCAAAAAATTTTTACCCACTCAAGCTATACTAAGATTTACCTTGTAATTTAGCCAATACCAGTGCATGTTTCTTGGACTTTCGTTCCATTTACTTACAAAATTTTTTTACTGACTTCTGCTTGTTCTTGCATTGAGGAATACGTATTATATCATCTGGTAATCTTAGTGTCGCAACTCAGCAAGGGTGTTGTAACAGATAAGATAGAGATATTTTGGAGACGTTCATTTTTAGAACATAAAATGTAGTGTTTAGCTGTTTATGTTGTAAATTGGAAGACATTCTCTCTTATATTGTGAGGTTAAAAGCTCTATCATGTTGCATCTCTCATTCTTTTATTACATTACCTTCTATGGATGTCGTAAATGCTTTTGCTATAGTTCTTGCTCTGAATGTTCATGACCAGTCCCCTTTAATCAATTTCGTGTCTTATAGTACATTTTTGGCTTCTTTATCCTTTATATGTCATGTTTTTGCTATAGTTCTCGCTCTGAATGTTCATGACCAGTCCCCTTTAATAAGTTTTGTGTCTTATAGTACATTTTTGGCTTCTTTATCCTTTATATGTCATTTTTTTGCTTCTTTATCTGTATTGCTTACCCCATTCACTGTCAAGATTTCATTTCAGATTTTATTAAATATCAACTTATCTTATAAATACTGCCTTTGTTGGCTTCAACTTTGTGGTATATATGAAAATTATTTTGCTTGGCTTTTTGCTATGTTGATGTCAAAACATTTCTTTGGTCAAAACAGACTTATACCATTCCAATTTCATTTTAGCATATATTTTTTTTCTTTCATGCAGATATGGAAGATGCCGAAGTTGTGGGTGGGATTTCTGAAATGTGCTTCACAAACGCAACCTCATTCTTTTCATGTCCTACTACAGGTGTAAATTGATTCTCTTCCAAATTGTTCCTTTTTTTCTGTGCTCCTAGCTTAATGTTATACTGATGCCAGCTTACTGCTTACAGTTGCCACCGCCTCATCTTGAAAGTGCTCTAAATAGGCATCCTAACTTACGCATTCCTCTTGCTTCCTATGCCAATCAATCAAGCATGAGGACCTCATTGCCACGGTACTTGTTATGATGTTGTTTGGTTGATTTGTTTTATCAGAAGTTTAGATTATGCAAGGTGCATGATACTTTTAAGACATGCCAGAAATATGTCAGTGTGAGAGAATGATTATAGCTTGATGTGTTCAAAGATCGTATATGGAAACTGAAAACACAAGAATCGGGCTCCCATATGATGAGAAGTGGTGGTGTAGCAAAGCAATGCAAGGAAACTTTGAACCCCTAAATCCATTTTACTTTACTAGACCTATTTTTATTTGAAGTTTAGCTAGCCAGTTTGACCATTTTTGTTTTTATTTGTCTGCTTTGACTTGGTCGGTTTTTGTGTGTGTGTGCCTGCATAATTGGTTTGTTTCTTGCTCCTTATTCCTTTTTTTTTTTAGGCTTTGTGGATAAAAATGATGGAACAAGCAATAGCTTGTTTCATGATGAATTTGCTTGGATATTATGGCTTTGCGTTGACAGGACCTGTTAACAGGACCACCCGAAACGGACTTCTGGCATCTTACGTACTATGGGACCTTCAGCATATAATTTGAACAATATTTTGTTTTAATTCTTATATTGCTATATGATGGTAACTGGTTTTTCTTTGATCTTTTCTATGTTCGGTTCACGCTGATGTTAGTTTCCATTGTCATGTGCAGGCAAACCCTTAAGGTGTTAGGCCTTCTTGATGAAGAACAGCAAACTCCAAAATCATCTGTCCCCGCAACATTGCAAACTTCGGATACGGGTTCTTCAATTCATGGTACGGCACTTACATGATCAGTAGAGCTTCTTCATGATCGACCCATTCCAAAGAGAGCAACTTCCTGGCTCTTGTGAGGGGCCCTGTGGTAGCAAATTATGGGAACTGACAGTGGCATGCTACTGAACAAGGTGCCAGCTCAAGAACAAACAACCATGGCACATTCAAATTCATCAGAATATGAGACAAGGAATTACATACAGGACCCAGGCCACTGGCTGGTACAATATTTGTCCCATTTATCGGTGGATAGATCATGTCCTAAAACGAGCCCAAGCTGAAAATGTAACTTAGCTGTGTATGTTATCGGTCAAGAAAAATAGTTATCATCATTGAGTTCCATTTTGTCTTCTAAGTAATTAGCTTGTCAGGTTTAAGTTACCAATCAGAGAAAACTTAAGCTGCTACTTGGGCACCAGATTTAAATGTGGGTGTCCTTGGAGCCTCAAGCTTTTCAGGCATCTTTTAAATTGGACCGGTTTCTTTCGGTCATCAGATTGTTAAAACATTTATGTAATCTTTTATGTGCAATCCGTTTTGTTGGTTGCGTTGTAAATTATGAATCGATAGTTAGTGAGATTTAGATCTAGGTATGTTTTTCAGTGAGATTATCTAGGTGAGATTGAGGTTCTTCTTCTTCCACCATTTCCTTATACATGGTCATGCAGGGCTCCCGAGTTTCGAGTTTTTGGATGTAAAGGTCGGTGTTGTGGGAGCATTTTCTTGATGTTTTTTTTCTTGGTTTCTGTTGCAAGATCTCATGTAGAACATGCTGTGAACATTTGGGAGTCATTTGGACAAGAGCCATATTTTCTTACCACACAGTGGCTCCATTTAAACCCAGCATTAATGGCTGTGGGATAAGTTAGTTCTCGTTTTAGAGGACTGATCCAGAAAACCCCATAAATATGATGGTTTTTCCTGCAATTTTTTCTATTTAATTCTGCTTGATTCGTTAAATTAGATTCAATGTTTTGCAATCAGTAAGATATTCAGATTAATCCACATCAACATTGACACCCTTCAAATATGTAACTTGTATCTCTCTTCTAATGATAATAATGATTTTATTATTTACATCTCTAACTTTAAGTTTAAAAAACTAAGAATAAACTGATCGGTAGAAACATAAGATATATTTGAAGTATTTAATACTATTTTTTATCCTCCTAAAGCCATGATTAATAGTGATTAATCTAAGTTAATTGGATAAGAGTTAATACAAGTGGAATATATATATATATATATATATACTCACGAAATGTATAAATATTATATATGTTATATTTAAAAAATGATTTATGTATATACTATTTCCAAACTTTGAAATGCTAGGAATATAAATGCCCTATATATAATAATGTATATATTTATATATATGAAACGTTAGAAAAATATATATCTTATATTAAAATTTGAAAGAGTAAACATATTATTTGTAAAATTTAAAAGGATAGATATGTAAAAGCGTCATCTCTCTCTCTCTCTCTCTCTCTCTCTATATATATATATATATATATATATATATATATATATCCGAAAATGACGGTTGCAGTTGGCACAGTATTTAATGCATCAGGTGGTGTCATGCGTGTCTCTTCCGCTGTTGGAAGCTCTGTCCGCCGTTGCTTTGTGGCCTCGGCACCAGGGGCAGCTACTCCAATTCCCGACGCATTGCCTCCCATTTCTTCCCGGGTCTCCCTCCAATAACGGAGGTCCGAACGTGCTGCTCTCATATTCTATCTAATCCCCAGGTTCGTCCTTCGGTTTCAGAAAACCAAGATCTCGTCGTTTCCTCGGCTTTCCGCGATTGATTCACCTGAAGCTGGATCCCTATGGTTCTCATTTCGCTGTTCCCTCATCTTTCCAGGACCAATTTCCTTGCGCTTGGGAAGAACACCGGTCTTTGTCTTATGGCTTTGAGTTCTTGCCTTTCGCTACTGATCTGACGTATCGTTTTGCGCTTTTAGTTCGTCGATGTTGACATTTATTTTCTCATGAAAAGATCTTTGGGATTCATCAAAATGTTCGTTCTGGATTGAATCCCGATTTATCTGGCATTCGATTTGAATAAAAAGAAACATAAATCTGCGCACGACAAGTTCTTGTTCTAATGATTAATCAATCATTATGATACTTTGATTCGATCAATTGATAACTTGTTATGGGATACACCGGTAATAAAAATCGATATATCCTCTGGAATTTTGTGTTGCAGGTAGGTAGAATCGGATACCATGGTGAAGGACACCGAGTACTATGATATATTGGGTATCAGTGTTGATGCATCTGCTGCTGAGATAAAGAAGGCCTATTACCTCAAGGTGACAAGGGAATCTCTTCACCTATAAATATATGTATTGATGGTTGTTCCGATCGTTTACAGATTTCCTGCCTCCTACCATTGTGAAAAAAAAAAAATTGAATAAATAAATTGTTGAAAATAAAGGAAAGGGTGCGCAAATCTCAGCCAATGAAGGCCGGGGAGAGTCTTTATATTATTGAAAATGGCCTAATTTGTTAGAGGTGAATTATTTACAAGTTTCTATTAGCTGAATTCTCCCAAAACCAAATTTATCTTTCTGCCATGAAGAGCTATTAAGTCATTGTACATATTCTTTTAAACACTAATTGCATCATTTTGCCCTTGTCTAAGACGACCTAGAACAAAAAAAATATGCCTTATATTGATCAATTTGTCACTTAACCATACTTGTCCTTTAATATTGATCACTTTGACCTAACGACTTCTCATGTTTTTTTTTGTCTAGAATTTTTTTCCTTGGTTCAAAGAAATGTCTTTGTCATATGCATGGTCTTAAATAAGCTAAAACAGGTTTCTCATGACCTAGTTTTGAGATTTCTTTTTTCAGATATTTCTTGTGTCACATGATGCTGAACTTTGAATGGCTGGATCTCCTAGGTTTTTATTTTCTCTGAATTAGTTAAATTTAAATTATGAATACTGATTGATAAGTGAGATTTGCTAATCTTTGTCTATTCCATTTTGTAGGCACGCTTGGTGCATCCAGATAAGAATCTTGGAGATCCACAAGCCGCTCATAACTTCCAGGTGCTTAATTTGTTCGATGGAACTTGTCATGTTATAACTGCAATTGTTCTTGATTTATTACATGCTTTAAAATATGTATGCATTATTCATCCAATCTAAGTTCCTTTATTGTGATTAATTTGGATTTTCTGGTTAGAATGCATCAAATCTGAGCCTCAAATCTATTCAGTGGTTCAATTGATTGACAGGATTTGAAGAGCTCTAACTTATGGTCATTTAATTTTTGCGGAGATTGGTTCATTGTTAATAACATTATGTATGTTCTGCTTGGATGCTTTACAGGTATTTATTTTAGTTGCAATCCTCCTACAAGCCCATCTTAACTTTGCATTTCTTGTAGTACAGTACTACAGTTCACTGAACCATGAAACTATGATGGAAATAATTCAATACTGGGTACTTCCTTTTTCATAATCCAGAAGTGACAGTGTAGAAAACATCCTAAGATTTGCATATCTTTTCTACTCTTCCACACTGTTCCTCATAACTCTATTAAGAAGAAAAGCATTTTGCAAATGACAGACCCTCGAAGGTTGTTTTTATGATAGAAGGGAAATGACAGACTTTGCTCTATGGTTGATGGTCTCAACATATTAATTAAGATAATGAGGCAATGGAGCAAATTCCCACTAGGATATTCAGTTTGCCGGAAATTGGTCAAACTTGCTTGCAAATAGAAACAGTTACAACTATTTTAATGTTTTGAAAATGCATGTCTCTCATCATTAAATTATTACTGATTTAAATAGTTTTAATGTGTAGGTACTTGGCGAGGCTTATCAAGTCTTGAGTGATCCTGCAAAACGTGAAGAATATGATAAGCATGGAAAGGAAGGTGTTCCCCGGTATGTCCATTAAGAAGAAACATGTTAACTTTCCATATCATCTGTATGGAAAACATTGGTTGTAAAATTTCTAACTTGATCTTTGTTTTTTTACTTTAAAGTATGTTAGCAAATGCATCTCAAAAATAAAGTTGGTAGTTATCTGAATCTGTTTTTATTCTAAGAAACCTTGTTCGTATGTTGCAATGGTCATACCTTTGGTATCTCTCAGGGATTCCATGGTAGATCCTGCTGCTGTCTTTGGGATGCTTTTTGGAAGTGAGTTCTTTGAAGATTATGTTGGACAACTAGCTTTAGCAACCATAGCTTGTGTAGAAGTTGAAGAAGAATCACAGGTCCCAGAAACCCGGAAACAAAGAGTTCAAGAGAAAATTAAGGTATCTGACACTAGTAAAGAATGTTATATTTTTTTGGAATAATTTAGAAATACATTTTTATCTTGAAATGAGAATGCATTTGTGAATTTTTATGGATGAATTGATCATAGTTTCTGATTTTTAACTAAATGGTAAATAGCTCCAGTAACTTATTACCTTGAAGAAATTTAGCTTAAGGCTATGAAATTTGTGATGAGAACATCTCATTTTTACTATATGGCTGTAATAGACTTTTTCTGCATCATGACATTTTTATTTTAAGAACCTATGTCACTTCTGAGTATTTGGCAACTTGTCCAGCACACTTGTGATTTATCTAGTGCGATCCTTTGTACACATTTTTCCTTAATTATTTGTAGCATTGAAAAATGATCTGATGATCCTTGCCAAAATATGCAAAAGTACGTGATCCATATTGTTGGACGTAGAAACCATGTCATCAAGCCAACCACAACATCTATATGCCACTTGTTTCTACCAGATCTCTAGCAGAACTCTTTAAGAATACACTAATGACTAAAATATGACTAAATTGGTTCGCCAATGTATATGATGCCTAGCATGCTACCTCTATAACTGGACAGTCAGACTAGACTTTTTATCTAGCAAAGGCAATGTTAGGTGTGGGCTAGGCATAGTTTGTCTTATACTATTAATCTTAAAATGTGTCTACTAGAGTCCTAAAAGGGTTCATTCTGCTAAAGAATAATGAAAATTCAAATTTCTAGTGATGTCCATGTCATATCAGTGTCGGACACCACCATGTAGGAAATTTCCTAGCACATGTTAGGCACCAGCATTCATAATTTCATGCATTGGTCAAGGATCAAACCAGTACTGTACCAGTCCATATTGATGTACTGAATATTGGTACATTGATACATACTGACTTTTGGAAAAAATATGAAAAAGGCTGAAAAATTTGCCCAGTACAGGGCTTATACCACCCTTTTCTGGATGGTACAGGTCCGACTAGAGTGAGCGGTATATGCCCTACATCGGATGGTACATGCCTTATTCTGTAATTTACACCCCAAATTAATCAGGTCTGCATATTGGTAGAGTATCGGACTGCCCGTGTCGAACTGTATTGGGCATATCGCAACCCTTGCTAGGTACTAAAAAACCAGGATTCATATGTCGATGCACTCCCACATTTTAGCCAGCATCACATTTTTTACTTGATGGCTGTTATGAGACATGCCGCCGATACCTCTAAAGAAATAGGAAATAAAAGGACAATTAAATAACAAATCTAGGAGCAAAATATGTATAACCCTATCCTAACTCCTCCAGCATTCCCTCCTCTTCTCCTGACCTCACTTCTCTAGTCTAGATAAGGCAATAATCAGGTGGCATGAGATGCAAAGGAAGCAACAAATTTGGAACGTAGATGGCTCAAGAATCTTCTACCGGAATACCAGGAAATTTGCAGAACTTAAATTATTGCTTCATACATATTGGGATTTTTTTAATGTATTATAATGTTATATATATATATAATTATATATATATAAAAGTAAGTAAGTAAGTAAGTATGTATGTATGTATGTATGTATGTATATGTATAAATGTATAAACATATAGGTAGCATGGTGAGTTGAATGATTGTATAAAAATATGTGTTGGTTTAACATGTTAATTTGCGCTTCTCCATGTCAGCAATGTGTTTCAGAAATCATAAATATACTGTGCTTTTCTTGTGTAGATTATGTTCACCTCTCTTACTCGATAGATTTGCTTATGTTATAAGCCTATACCATGATAAGTTTCAATTTCCAAGTGCAGGAATTACAGAAAGAAAGGGAACAGAAACTAATCCAGGTTCTGAAAGATCGCCTTCATCTTTATGTGTCTGGGCAGAAAGAACAGTTTGCAGCTTGGGCCAGCTCTGAAGCTCGTCGTTTATCTCAAGCTGGTGAAGTTCTCAGCTTCTTCTCCACTCCCATTTGTCTTTTTCCTTTAGGTGCTTTTTTTATCACATGCAATTCATGATGGATAGGATAGTAAATAGAGAATGATTATTAGAGTTGAAGGGTCAAAGCAACCTGGTAAAGTAGACAAGGGACCGAGAGAGGACAAAATTCTTTTTTTTGTCCACAAATCCCTGTTTACTGAATAGAAAATAGTATCGATGTTTGTATCACAACCTTGAATATAGTAAAATTTTAGTGCTTTTGAAAAATTAATATTTGGCATACATAACTATAGTTAGCTGGTGGTTGCAGATCTAGCAATCACAAGGTGCTAGGCAGCCATTCAGGCAATGCCAAACAATTAGATCAGTTAAAAAGATCCACACTATTTAAATGGATGCATGCTATGTCTTTGATATATGATTATCTCTAATTTATTTGATTTGTATATTGTATGTGTTATATGATCTTAAACAATTATAGTTTCTTTGAAGAACTATAGTTTCTTAAACAAAGAACTCTCTCTCACAATGCACATGTGGTGTATTGCTCAGCTATGGCACCCATTAGACTTGCATCCGTAATGTATATACTTGAACTCAAAACTTTCTATTAAAGACAATCAGATTCCATGTAATCGTCAGGATGAACTGTTAAGGTTGCTTCTTACAACCTCTAGGTGTTCAGGTTCTGAAATTACAGTCTACTTTTAGAGGTAAGGCTACACATGTTGATTCTCCCAAGATCTTGTATTGGTGATAGTTTCATGGCATCCCTTGGCATAAAGTAAGGTTATTCTTTTGCAATCTAAATAACTAGTAAAACACGATCTCTCTGCTTGTAATGGTAATATGCATTCTCTTACTCTTACATATAGTGCATACTTTCTGCTCGTGGATGAGATTTAATTGAGAATGTTACTGGATTTACTCCCTTTCCTTGAATCACACCTGCAAAACTGAAATTACTAATTTTCAGCTTTTGGGGAGGCTATGCTCCACACCATTGGATATATATATGCCAGACAATCTGCGAGAGAAATTGGAAAGAGCAGGCGATATATGGGCATGCCATTTATCGCTGAGTGGGTACGAGATAAGGGTCACCATATAAAATCACAAGTTAATGCAGCATCAGGTACTTACCTGACTTTTCTTCCCTAATTTTTTGGTTTGATTGTCATTAGGCTTCCGCTAACATTATCCAAATTGTTTCTCAATCTAGGTGCTGTTGCACTAATACAGCTTCAGGAAGGGATGAAAAAACTTGAGGGGTCTGAAGAAGAGGACCTTATGAAGAACTTCGAAGAGAAAAAGGATGCGATGCTTGGTTCTTTGTGGAAAATAAATGTGCTAGACATAGAATCAACTCTTTCACATGTTTGCCAAGCAGTAAGCTTCATTGTCTTATATGTCCATGCAACATATTGCATTGAATGTGGCATACATGTGAAAATAAATAATTACTAAAGAATGCAAATGTTGTTATGGAGGCACTGCATCAATTGCATATTTGAATATCCTGATTGTGCTTTAGTGTTTTCCATCAGCTAAATTCAAATGTCTGGTTGAGTTCAGGTTCTGAAAGATAATAGTGTTTCCAAGGATGTGTTGAAGTTCAGAGCCAGAGCACTGAAGAAGATGGGAACAATTTTCCAAGTATGTGAAATTTTTTACCCAAAGGAGCATTTTTGTAATGCTGATTTCTTCCTTTCTGGACAATATCTCATTAAGATGATTACAATTAGATGACTCAGAGAATAATAGATATAAACCAGTAGCATTTAGAAACATACATACATACATACATACATACATACATATATATATATATATATATATATATATATATATATATATAGTGCATATATCAATTTTTTTTAGATAAAAGAAACTTCTGCACATGGCGTTACTAAAAAAATTTCATTCATTAGTCATACCTTGAGTAGATTTTGAATGCTTCCATCTTTGTAATTAGAGGATTTCCAGCACAATTGTGGGTTAATAAGTCTTACGCATTTCTAATCATTCGGTTTATGTTAGCATTCCCATCGACTTAGGCATGGTGATACGACATTTTTCAAATATATTATAAGAAACTCCATGCCATTTATTAACTTTCACTCTTTCACTACTCTGAATCTGACCTGAGAATTATTATTAATAGACTAGATGAACTTACAGAACGGTGACTTGCAGTTATCATGGTGAGCAAGTTTGTCTAAACTCTAAATGTCATATTTTCTTCTGAGCAGGGTGCTAAAGGGCTTTATAGGAGAGAGAACAGTCTTCGCCTCGAGGATGGCACCGGCGGTGTCATGCCATAAGAGGTAGCCTTGTGAAACACATAGATGATTTGCTGTGAGTGATGTTCATGGTGAAGAAGGCAACTGATGCGAGAAAGTTACTGCTGGAAATATGTTGGTAAATTTATCTCAACTGTTCATGTCTTGGGGCACGAGGCTTGATTTTATCCAGTTTTTTTGTCGATGTTAAGTCATACATTTATAAAAGATTTTGATGTTTGGCATTATCTTTCAGATAAATCTTGTGCGATGTACCAAGAAATTTCTTCTCAGCTTTTCTTTTCCTCGTTGAATGCTCCAAGATTTTTTTTTCTCTGTTTCTGTTCTAAAAGTTATTTGTTGTCAATAGCTTAATACAGATATTGATTGATTTGCTGAGACTCATCTTGAACAAGCCCCCTTTGCCTTTTTATCGTGAGCTGTACCTTAAAAGTAATTTTGTTTTTTTATCAAGGTAGAATTCGATTCAGATCGATGTATCATATACAAGCATGACTCATAGTCCAGTCCAAGCTAATGATTTGGTTTGGACTACTCATAGTTTGTTTAGTAGCTATAAACACTATAAATTTTTATTACTATTCTTCAATAATAAATTAATATAAATATTATGTTTCTCAAAATATATAAACTTAAGCTTAAGGCTAATGAGAAAAAAATTACTTTTTTTTGAAATATATGAAAACCTTCTTAATTCAGGCCTCTTTACAATGTTGTTGAATAGATTTATAATGTTTCAGTTTATTAATAAATAATATATAGGTCCATTAAAAAATATTGTGATCTGGTAAGACTTCATCTTTTTTTATTTATTATTTTTTCATGATAAATATACCTAAATATGAGGTTATATGAGAAAAAGAATTTTTATCTTTATTTATTTTGAAATATGTCAAAACACTCTTAATTTTCATGGGAAACAAATCATCTCATATATATATATATATATATATATATATATATATATATATA